ACCACTCGCGAGGATCGTGCCCCCCAGGGGGGCGACGCTAAAAAATGCTTCCCCCTTCTGCGATCGATGTCCTCCAAGAGGCCCCCAAGAGACGTCTCGGACTCTCCTCTTGCGCCCTGCGCGCGGGCGGGCGGCGCGCCGCCCGCCCGCCCGCGAGGCCCAAGAGCCCGCCAAAACGTTCGAAGATACCTCCAAGACGCCACCAGGGGAGAAGAAGAGGCGGAGGAGGAGGAGGAGGAGGAGGAGGGGGAATGGGGGGAGGACGAGAAGGCGGAGGAGAGAGAGGAAGAGGGGGAGGAGAACAGCTGCCGATCATCGGCGCTCTTCGTTCGAGTGCCTGGTGCAGGATGGGCTGGTGGGGATGCGCGAAGCGTCAAGAATTGAACTGGATTGTGCCGAGATTGAAACTGCGTGACGGTGCATCGCCAGACCCAGTAGATAGCGTGAAAGCCGGCATGTGGGGACTGAAAGATAACGGCACACCAGAAGCAAGACTGAGCACAACCTTCCATGTTAGGGCCAAGCCTGGGGGGCGCGTTAGCTCGCGTAGAGCAACCCCCGCAGGCCCCCGATGCAACCCAAGAAAACAGATGTTCGATTGAACTTGATTGTGCCGAGATTGAAACTGAGTGACGGTGCCTCGCCAGACCCAGTAGATAGCGAGAGAGCCGACATGAGTGAACTGAAAGACAACGGCACCCCAGAGACAACCCTGAGCACAACATTTCATGTTAGAGCCAAGCCTGGGGGGCGCGTTAGCTCACGTAGAGCAGCCCCCACAGGCCCCCGATGCAATCCCAAGAACAATATACAATTGAACTGGATTGTGCCGAGATTGAAACTGTGCGACGGTGCATCACCAGACCCAGCAGATAGCGCCAAAGCCGACATGTGGGAACTGAAAGATAACGGCACGCCAGAAGCAAAACTGAGCACGACCTTCCATGTTAGGGCCAAGCCTGGGGGGCGCGTTAGCTCACGTAGAGCAACCCCCGCAGGCCCCCGAAGGGACAATTCAGCTCTGTTTGCAATTGCTCGCAGTGGGCGACTCGTCGGGCAGAGCTGGCGGTGGTCCTGCCGCTGTCGCCATCTCAGCCGCTGCCCTCGCGAAACCCTGAAACAAGGCCCCCACGTCGAGCGGTTCCGAGGATGGCGCCGTCGAGGCCGGGTGGGCCGGAGACGACAGAGGCCGGGTGACACGCCGAAAGGCACCGATGTCGCGCACGAGCCTCGCCCTCTCGGGACTGGCGTACCAGTCCTCGGTCTTGGCGCCCGAGCTGCAGCCAGCCGCAAAGACATCCGCCCCCTCTGCGGCGAAACGCGGGGAAGTCGCCTCGGGCGCCTGACGATCCAGGCGTGCGCGCCGACGCAGGAAGGGTCGCTGTCGCCCCCGCGCGGCGCGCTCCGAACGGGCTTGCGCCCAGGCCTGCATCTCCTCGTCCCGTTCGCAGCAGAAGGCCCTCGCCCCCTCCAGCTCGCGGTCGGCCTCGGCGGCGGCCGCGGCCACCCCCTCAGAGCCGTCCGCGGAGGGTGGGGGTGGGAACCCTCCCGCGGGAACCTGCCAGCACTGGCCCTCGACGAAGTCGGACGCCTGCTTGACGTGCGGCACCACGGTCAGCTGCCCTCTGCGTGGAGTGTTGGTGCCACGTGGCACCCCTGCCAGAGGCCCGTTGTACGAGGAGAAGATGACCGTTCCACAAGTGCATCTCAAACCAATCTCCTGCAACGGTCCACTCGCCAAGGGGATTGGAAACCAACAGCCAGCGCCTGGTCGAAAGACCTCAGCTTCTGACCTCATACTGGCGACCTCGCCCACCGAGGGAGCGTGTCGCGGTGTTTTGACACCTTGCAGCTGCTTCTTGAAGTCAGCAATTTCTTGACGTAATTTCTGAATGAGACGATCGGCCGATGCACGTGCGCCTGCTCGACCTCTCAAACCAGTTTTAGCGCGCCGCCAATCTGGGCCGGGAGGAGGGGGAGGAGGGGGAGGGGGAGGAGGGGGAGGAGAAGGAGGAGGAGGAGGGGGAGGGGGAGGGGGAGCTCCTCCTCCTCCTCGTCCTCGTCATCCTGGAGGAAATACAGACCTTCACGCTCCAGGCTCCACGAGGAGGAGGAGGAGGAGAAAGAGGATGAGGAAGAGGAGGAGAAGGAGGAAACGGAGGAGGAGGAGCTTGGTACGTTGGAAGGAGGAGAGAGCGAAGGAGGAGAAGGAGGAGACGGAGGAGGAGGCGAAGGGGGCGCGAAACGCATGATTGGATGCATCGCAAAACGCTAGAGAAACAACACATCAATACAACGCTATGGGGGGGGAAACATAACGCATGTTTCTGTTTAGAAAAAAAGAAATTGTAGAACACCGATGTTCGCAAAACAAGAAATTGAACACCGTAATGAAACAACTAACTAGAACGCAACTTCCACAACTAGAACCACTCCAACACCTCACTTCCCCGTAACTTACACGCTGTAGAACGGCTTCAAAAACAGAAAAACTAACTTCCGTATCTTCCACAAATTTCACCGTTCAAGGTATGTAAGATCTGGCAGATCAAGGTAAGATCTGGAAGACCAAGTTAAGATCTGGTATATCAAATTAACATGATCTACCACAACTTCCCCACAACTACGGGAACTAGTTATGAGGATCTCAGCCAGGGTGCCGCAGCCCGGGTCCCGGCCCCGGCCCCAACCCTGGCCCACCGGCCCCAGCCCCAGCCGCGGCCTTCGGCCTCGGCCCCAGCCCCAACCTTGGCCCCAGCCCAAACCATAACAGAGCCCACGAGGCCCCCAAAGGAGCCCCAAGACATCCTCGAGAGCGTCAGCGTCGTCGTCGTCGCCGCTGCCGCCGCCGCCGCCACCGTGGTCATCGCCGTCCCCCTTCAGGGTCGGCGGCGCCGGTCGCAAGGCTTCCAGATCGAGCGGCCTATGGGCCAAACACCCGTGCGAGGGCCTGGGGACGTCCGTAAAGGTGACCAAGGTTTCCCTTAGTTGTTCGAGCTTGCGCCCCGAAGATACATAAACAACATAACCGTTTGCAATCGCCCCTCGCGAGGACGACGGGATCGGGCGCGCGGGAATTCGCGCGCTCGCCCCCCCGCTTCGGCGCCTCTGCTCAGGCACAAATGCTGCGGATGCCGTGCTGCTTCATGCTCGGGCGCAGCAGCAACACCACCAGGAGGAGGGGAAGAGGAATAGCGGAGGGGGGAAGGACCAAAACGGACCCGCGACCCCCCGAAACCCTGACGGGGCTGCCGTCAGAACGAACATGCGCAAAGGACGCGGGGTATGGAACAGAAGCCGCTAGGGGACGTGGAACGGGCCCGTTGGCGGTCAGATTGTGGTGACCCCTCCAGCGAAAAGCCCGTGTTGGCGAAAATCGGCACGTCTCCTCTCCGAGCCCCGCGATCACCAAGTGGGGGGAGTAGACAAACGCCCAGAAAATTTCGGAAAATATGGAGAATCCTGTTATTTGTGTATGTTTGTTTGTGTGTCCCAGGGCCCCTTCTATTTATCGGCGTCGGACCCCCCCGCACGTGGGACAGCAGGCACGGCACTTGGGCCTCCCAGGCAGGGGGGTTGCCAACGGGTATGGCAAAGGCCCGTTCTCGCCAAGATTGTGGGAACCACTGAATAAAATCGCCCGCTTGGGGGAAGTAGGCGCGTCTCTTCCCACAACATCATCCTTTCCGCGATGTAGCAGGCATGGTACTTGGACGTCCCAGAGAGGGAGCTGCCAGAGGGCATGGCACGAACCCGGTCGCGCACATATTGATTGAGGGCATCTCATTCGACACGCCCATGTCGGGAAGTGGGCGTGTCTCTGATACCCTAAACGTTGAATATGTGGGTCATTGCTCCCAACATCGCTAGTACAGTCAACCCGTGTAGTAAGGACGCGCGGGAAGTTGCTAATCCTTGCTATGCGGGTCGACAGTACGCGGTTCTTACGATTTGCGTAATACCTCCGCCTCCTCTACCTCTTCATATCCCGCCCCTGTATCCAGACCACTCTTACTCAGTGGTGCAGTCGGGCTCTCTCACAGCCAGACCGACATACCAAATTCGTTCAACCCAAGCTCCATCACACTAACCTAGCTCACTCTCAACATTCATCAAACTCATTCAAACTCGAACCACTCACATCGAGACGCACTTTTGGTCGGAATCATTCACGGTCAGACTCGCTTATACTCAGAGCCACCCTCACTTAGACTCACACACGCTCAGACCTACTCACACGGGGTCTCCTTCAACCACTCACACTCATCCATGATCATACTCAGCCTCACCCGCGCTCAGGCTCAATCATACTCGGACTCACTCATACTCAGCCTCACTCGTACTCACACTCGCCGCAATGTAGCAGGCGTGACGCCTGGGCCTCCCACAGAGGCAGCCAAGGGCATGGCACGGGCGCGTTCGCACCCAGATCACGGGTAACTCTCAGGCGGAACGCCGGTTTTGGAAAATAGACGCATCTCTTCTCATATCCCCGTTGACACTGCGATCTAGCAAGCACCGGTTGAGACCATTTGCACGCGAGGACATGTCAACACCGACTGGCTCCTGTCAACACAGTAAGCAAATATCGGTAATTTTAACCCCGTCGCCGTGTTGTGGCCACCTCATGACTCCACAAGCGGCCACTCCGATCGATCGGTATGCACATCAACTGTTCTCCCGAAATTCGTCGATGTGCTCAGCCCTACGCAAAAGCCCTTTGCCAAGGTCATCCAAAAAATACCCAAGCCTCCAACTCCGCTATTTTTCAACCCGTGGGCACCAATCCAACCTCTCGACCCCTTCTCAGGGCCAAATTTCCGCTCTGGGTCGTCTTCTTGATTTGTGCATCGGCCTGATAAGGGCCCGACCCCGATAGTCCCAAAACGACAATGGTCGGACGTCTCGATTTTCCTCAAGACGGTGGATGTCCAGAAACAAGTTATTGATAGTGCTGTTCGACTCCCCACCGTGGAACAAAACAACAAGGAGCAGCTGGCCTCCTTGGCATACTTGCTGCCCCTGCGGCGTGGGCTCGCTTCGCGTGCTGGCAACATAGATGCGACGACATGCAACGACACCCCGGCAGGATGAACGCCAATACACGTAGCAGGTGCGCAGTTCAGGATGCGAGGCCCTTGGTCGTCCACGTGTGCAGTGTTGTGAACAAAACAAGAGGCATGGTGATCCAAGTCCCCATCGTAGACTGGCCGAAACATCTGGGGGCCCATTCGGGGATACAACATAGAGGAACATATAGTACAGAGGATGAGAAGAGGAATAGAACGAGGATAGGGAAAGACGATCATAACACAAACAGAAAACAGAGGAAAAGGGTACGGACAATTCTTGCGGCGTCGGCGCGCGTCAAAATGTCTGACACCGTGTCGATCCTTCAACCTTGAACAGAACGCGGCCCCGACCGTTCGAAATTGGACTCCGTCGGGTACTGTGGCGTCGCCATGTCCCTCGGCGCATGGCTTCACGAGTCGCAAACCACGACTGGACGAGGTGGACATGGCGAGTGCTGCGCTGGCACCCAGTCCTCAACCCGCGCCAGCAGGGACACAGGCAGTACGGTGGCCAAAACAAGCGCTGGGACGACGAAATCACCACTTACTTACGTCAACGCAAACCAGACCTCCACCGACCGCCCACGCAAGCCAATTCGAAAGGACAACCGAACGACATCACATGGACGCAAACAGCCCACGACACCGAAGCATGGACAGCGCTCGAGCACCACTTCACCGACCTCACGTCGACCAACACCCGGGACTCAGACCAATGACGTAATCTCGCCCAACCCGTGCCGACACCGACACCAAGGACTTTTCCTCCTCCTCCTCCTCTCCTCCTAACTTTTTACATGTCTCGCATTGCATGAATCCAGACACCTCAGATCCTAGAGGCCATGGCCTCACCCACCTGGTCTGCCCTAGGCCCGGACGCTGTCCGCAGCGGTGGTCGCATCGCATCGCATCGCATCGGTGCTTCCGCGTCGTTCTATCATGCGAGGTCAACCTTGAACGCCTTCGCCGACGTCGCCGGCATGCCATCGCCGCGTGAACTGACCGCTGCTTGGGACGCCGAAATCGCCACCTGCCCTGGCCGCACCGCCTCGCCGCCCGTGGGGAAACCCCTATAGGTACCGGTACCGCTACTCCCCGGACCTCTCCCGGGATGCGCTCTGACAAAACGAATCGAGGCGGATCCAGCGGTGGTGACGAGGGCATCCCAGCCAGGAAATCCAAAAAGCAGGAACGCGGCAAGGGTAGCGGCATCGGCACCTTGTCCTCCTCTGAGTTCAGCCGCCGTCCGCGTCGCCGTTCGCTCCACTTCGGGGATCCTCTGACCCTGTCAATGCAAACCAGGGTCAGTCAGGCTTTGCAAGATGCTACAAGATCCTGCAGGATCCTGCGCCCAAGCCAGGGTCAATGCGACCCTGGCCCTGCAGGATCCTGCAGGGTCCGGCGCTCTGACTGACCCCTGTTTGCTTTGACCCCCGTCTCTTGAGCCCCGACCACTGCTGAGCGCCAATGTCCTGGCCCAGCGCCCGGAGGCACATGCCCCCCAGCGCGGCCAGCAAATCTGGGCCGCGTGGCGCGCCACCTCGGTCTCGAGGTCGGCTGGCGGCCGTTGGCGGCGCGCACAAGGGGGTAGGGGGAGGGGGGGAAGACTTCCTAGAACGCGTCCCTCTGCGGCCCCGGCACTCGTCCCACTTTTGGACAGGTGGCCACGGGATCCTGGCGGGTGAGGTAGGTCGGAGCCCGCCGAAAACCATAGCCGGGCGGGGCCCGAACCGAGCTTACCCCCCTCCCTTCCTCGTCCTCCCTCCCTCCTCATTCGGCTACACGCAAGAGAGGCCCTGGGTAAGATCGAGGACCTTTGGCGCGCGACTTTTAGGAGCCGCGGTCGGGCCGAACACGAGCGCGCGAGACACTACTACTAGGGGGCCACACGCGAACCCTACCCCTACCCCCCACGATTTCTGAGGGGGAGGGTGGGGTTCACTTCGTCTGGGAGCTCCCGAGCGAAGTAAACCCCACCCTCCCCCTCAGAAATCGTGGGGGGTAGGGGTAGGGTTCGCATGTGGCCCCCTAGCTACCGCAGCGCGCTCGGCGATTGGGGGACCCCATTGGGCCCGCACCAGAGGTCGCTCAGGCGAAATGCGAAAGGCCACTCCCACGTTTGCTCCACTCCTCCCCTGAGCATCGCTCGGACGTCCATTCCCCGTGTTTGTTTGGGTTTCGTGCGTTGTTTTTTCGCTGAATGATCAATGATGCTCCTCGATGGTTCTCGCCGAAGGAAAATGAAGGGGCCCTGGGACACACAAATAAATACACACAAATAAAAAGATTCCCCATATTTTCTTATTTTTTTGAGTTTTCGTCTTCCCTCCCACTTCCCATATTTTCCCATATTTTCTGGGAATCGACGATTAACTGTGTCTGTGTGTTTCTCTCCCTCCTGACAAGCGCGAGGAGGCGGCGGGCGGCACCGCCGCCGCCAGCCCCCCCCGGGCGGGCCTGACGAGCGCGTAGTTCGCGGCCCGCAGCCCCTCCTGCGGCGGAGCGGCGGAGGGCGGCGCGGGGAGCGTGTCGGGCGAAAGGGGGGGATGGCAAAGGGGGGGGTTTGAGAATCAGCTCGCGTGGCTGATTTTCCCGGCGCCTCCCGGCGCCGGAGACGACGATGTGTCGAGGAAGGGGCCCCTCGGTGGGGCCGAAACCAGCTGCAGGCAGCAAATTTCGTACCCCCCCCTTTCCCAATCCCCCCATTTGCTCCGGCCCGATGGGAGCGTGGGCGGCGGCAACGGCGGCGACGGCCACGCCGCAACCGAGAACGGTGAGAACGGGCAACGGCGGCGACGGGTGCCAGGGTACGACGAGAGCGTCGACGACGATGCTGGCGCGTGTAACTCATGGAGGGGGGGAATGTTCGTGCTTCTCGCCCTTCTTAGGCCTCCGGTGGGTGTGCGCCATGGCTTTGTGGGCCCCGGAAACAGCAGGGCCCTTTTTTCACCGTTTCCAAGAAAATGTACCTTGAAAATGGAAACGGGAAAAAAACGGCGACCGGAAACGGCAAAAAAACGGCTCCAAAATTGGAACCTGAACCGGAACCGGCCAAAAAACGGCGACGGAACGGGTTAAAAAAACGGCGTCGGAACCGGCAACAAAAACGGCAAAATGGAACCGGTCAAAAAACGGCCCTGTCGTTTCCAGGGCCCACTAAGCGCCATGGTGGCCACGGCCGGCTGCGGCTCGAAATCCAGGCCATCAGTTTTGACTGCACCAGGGGGCCTCATCTGAAGGGGAACTGGGACACACAAATAAATACACACAAATAAAATCGTCCCCCATATTTTCCCATATTTTCATGGTTTTTGTTTTCACCCCCCCTTCCCATATTTTCCCATATTTTCTTGGAATCGACGATTAATTGTGTCTGTGTGTTTTTTCCCCTCCTGATCATCCCCTCTCGCCAGACGGTGGCTGCCCACAGCGAGCAAAAAGCGTCCCTCCCCTCGGCGCTCGGCCCGGCGGAGAAGGACGTTGCCAACAGGACGAGTGAAGCCGCCGAGGGGGACCTCTCAATCGAGCTCGAGTTGTTTTTGTTTTTTGTTGTTGTTGTTGTTGTTGTTGTTGTTGTTGTTGTTGTTGTTGTTGTTGTTGTTTTTTCAGCGCTATTTTGGAGAAGAGGGGGGAAGAGGCGAAAGCGAGCTCGAGTTTCTGGTGGCCGTGGCGGCTGGCACCCGTGGCGATCTCCTCCGCGGACACGTCCACCAGATCTGGTTTCTCGAGCCACCTCGTGCGCCCGTGGGTGGGAGGCAGATGAAGTTGCCATTCGCGGTGCTGGCCTCACATCTGCTGCACTCAGCACAGCACGACTTCGCCCCGATTTCGTGCTCTGCTCATCGAGGCAACGTATTCTATCCAGCTCTTTCTGCTTGACTCTCCCATGCAATGCCGCCATCCGAACATCCAAAGCATACGGTCCCCGCATTGTGAGACAACGAAACTCGAAAACGAAAACGAACGCAGGCGAGAAAATTGCAGATTGCGAAAACGAAAACGAAGGCCCGCTGGAAAAGTATCGGAATTAGAAGCCCCAAGCACGCGCCCGCCGCCGTCCCGCGTGCCCGCCCCCTCCCGTGCTCGCCCCCCCCCCACACCACCCCTCGCACACCACCCCAAGAGAAATTCAAACGACATTGGACCCTCGGGAATTCCAATCGGGAGTAAGGAAAACGATGACGCGCTTGCGTTTCCCGTGATTTAGCGGGGCGCGAGCCGCAGCGCTGTCTGATTCAATTTGTAAATCGAATGCCACGGGCTAAAGCAACGCTGACAAAACGAATGAAAACAACGAACGGCTCTGACGAGTTGAAGATACAAACAACGAAAACGAATGGCCGCCCGACGCTGGAACATGTCAACAAAAACGACAACGAATTCTAAGGAAAGGGAAACAAGTTCCGTCATTTCGCTGTGCTGGACCAGTAGGGCCCTGCAGGATGAGAACGGGCGGAAGCGTCAGCGGTAACTGGACATACCTCCGTGCTGGCAAGATTATTCAACTGTCGCATCGACATACGTGGCCAGCTTTTTATGCGGCCCCCCTCCATGACGAACGACGTCGACTGAATGCACAGAGGGAATAAGGACGAGGAGTGAGGAGAACGATTAGAGGGGGCCACGACTCCGGCGCTGACGACTACGCCGACGAGGATGCTGACGCCACCGTCGACGACTCCGCCGCCGCCGTCGCCACTGCCGTCGTCGGAGGCAGCGCCGTGCTCCTCGTCGACGGTGCCGGCGCTGGCAATCGGCGGTGGTGGCGGCATCGGCGCGCTCGTCGCGTCGTCATCGTCTCGGCGGCGGCGCTGGCGCCAGCAATTGAGCAGGAACGGAGCGTCCCGGCATTCCTATAGTCCTACCACGAAATGTTCTAAAACCCAAAACATGTTAAAATAACAAAAGCAATGTTCTTAGAAAATAAGCCCGATGTGTTCGAACAAGACAGTTCAGGCCAAAAGTGTTCTAAGAACATCTCGTGGGAACCACAAGAGGTTCTCAGAACATTGTTTCGTAGGACTGGTGGCGAGCCAGGACGCTTCGCCACTGCTTGAAGCAGTGCACTCGTCGCCGTCGTCGGCGACCGTGGCGTGCGTCGGCGTCGCCAGCGGGGACGCCAGCGGCGGCGGCATTGGCGCCGTGGCCGTCGGCGCGGCCCCCCCCCGAGCGCCAAAGTCGGCGACTCCGAAGGGTGTGGTTTGCAAAGGGTGTGGTTTGCAACCGGCACCCTGAGGGACACCCTGAGGGGCGGGCGAGGGCCTCGACAGAGCTCTCCGCCGCGCCCCGAGGAGGCCCGGCGAGGACAGCGTCGTGCCCCCCAGGCCCCGACGGTGCCGACCGCAAACCACACCCCGGCGTAACCACACCCTCTGTAGTCGCCGCCAAAGGGGGCGCTCCTGCGGCAGCGCGCCGCCGGGCCGGCCGCGCGCCAGGAGGCCGCCCGCGTCGTCGACGAGGACGAAGGACTCGAAGTCCTGCGCCGCCCCCGCCGCCCCCGCCGCGGCGCGCGCCACCGCCCGCGCCCCGTCGGCCGCCGCCGCCGCCGCCGCTCCCACTGGCCATCGCTCGGACGTCCATTCCCTGTGTTTTTTTTCGGTGTCGTGCGTGTTTTTTTCGCCAAATGATCAAGGATGCTCCTCGATGGTCCTCGCCGAAGGAAAAATGCACACGTCCGAGCGATGCCAAGTCCCACCTCCGCCGCAGTCGTGGTCGCCGTCATCGTCGCCGCCGCCGTCGTCTGCATCGCCGACGTCCTGCGAACACGTCGTCGTCGCCGCAGCCACAAGGATCCTCGTCGACGTCCGCCCACGCCGTCGACGAGCACGACGGGTCCAAACACAAACAATTCCGCCGCTCGGAACCGTCCCACGGGGCTGTTCGGCGGCGAGCCTGGGGGGGACGTGAGAAGGGGCGGGCCTTCTCAGAAGGCTCGGAAGTTCTCGGGTCTTCTGAGAAGTTTCCCGAGGCTCCCCCGAAGACGCAGAAAAAAACCCAGCCGCCTTCTGAGAAGGCCTTCTCCTGATCAGTGCCCCCCCTCGCTCGCCGCCGACTGGTGGCCATCGTCGACGCCGTCGCCGCCGTCCTAATAATCGTCGTCGTCGTCGTTCCAAGTTAGCTGGGCCCTCGGCTCGCTTTGGACCTGCATGGGTAGGCCCGTCTCGCCGAGGCTGGGCACGCCTCGAGGCCCTGGCCAGAGACTTCGGCGCCGCAGTCCACGCCCTGCTTCGAGGGGCAACGATAGCGGGGGACTGGCACAGGGTGGAACATCGACCTGGAATCGATGATATAGCGCAGATGGATCGGCGATAGCCGATACGTTCCCGATAGCGAATCCGCACGTTCCTGGGCGGGGTGGAGCTGCCCCTAATCCCTCCACCTCAGACAGGGCCACAGGAGCGCAGTTGCGCTCCAAGGTCGTCGCCTCCTCCTCCTCCTCGCCAATGGTCCATTCCTCCTTCTCCTCGCTCCGCCCCCTCTTCTCGCCGCAGACTTCCCCATTGGGCTTCTTCGGAAGAAACGTGGGGGTGGACAGTCGACGCTCTCCAACAGAAAAATACGTGCGCGTCCGAAATTTAGGAGGCCCCACGGGGAAGGCGGAGACACTAGGCTTTCCGGAGTCTTCGGCGGCTGATGAAAAGCGGTCCAAAGAGGTCGTCGGTCGGTCGCCACCTCCTCCTTCTCATATCCCTCCTTCCATCTTGCGCCTCTCCATCCCCGTCCATTCCTTTCCTTATGAATAACTCTTCCCTTTCGCACCCCGGAACGTGTCAGTAGGGCAGGCTAGGCGTTTCACCTCCTCACCATTTGCGATTCTGACGCTTAGAAGTTGGAGCACTTTCACGGATGGCTGGCAGGTGGCTCTCAAACTGTGGCTCTCACACCAGCGCCGCGCAACTTCGAGTCAAAACGTTGCGACAACTCCACGGATGGCGGGCAGGTGGATTCCAAAAAGTCTCTCTCGCCTTAGCGCCGCGCACACTCGTCTAACAAACATTGCAAGAGTTCCACGTATGGGGAAACCATCGGTGAAAAATGCCGCTCTCGCCCCAGCGCCGGGCGCATGGGTCAGAAAAATTTGAATGGAACTTCACGGATGGAAGGCGGTTCCTTTTTACAATCTGGTTCCCGCTTTAGCGCCGCGCACGTTCGTCTGTCACGTTTACCGAAAACTGTGCGGCTGTAGCTCCGGCCTGAGCGCCGCGCACATTCGTCTTCAAGATCCTGCAAGAGCTTTACGGATGGAAGCCCGGTTATGTTCAAAATGAAGACCTCCCCTGAGCGCCGTGCACATTCGTCATCAAATTCTCGCCAAAGGTTCATGCATGGAGGGCGGGTGATTTTGCTGTGTGGCTCTCGCCTTAGCGCCGCGCGCGTTGGTCTTCAAACTTTGCAAAGAGTTTCACGGGTGGAGGGCGGTTCTTCTCACAGTGTGGCTTTCGCCGAAGAACGCGCGCACTCATTCAACTTTCGCGAGCGCTTTCGCGGATGGAAGGCGGAGGGTGTTCGCAATGTTGTTCTCACCTAAGCGCTGCGCACATTCGTTGGACTACAACAGCTTAACGGACTATTAGGTAGACATTCCAGAAACAGTGTTCGAGCATTGTTTAAGATTGTCAGGCCTTAGCAATCACATGTACTCGTGGTGTTGAAGTCACAAGAGTGGTGTTATGACACGATGCAGGACCGTAAGGACACAAGACGCAATATTTTTCGCGGCGTGTAAGTCCAAGGGGTGGTGCCTTTGCGCGATTGAGGACTCTCAGACGGCTGTCTTCCAACGAGACACTTCCAGCAGTGAAGATAAACCCCACCAGCCCTTCCAAAACCTCTCCTCCCTTCGAGGAGTGGTGCTCTCCCCCTCCCCTCCCTGTGTTATGGGGTTTTGCGAGCGGCCAGGCGCCCAATATGGCCCAAGATGACTCCAAGAGGGCCTCCGATGGTTCAAAATGTCTTCTAACATGCCTTGAAGAGGCTAGGCTCTAAGAGAGCCACAAAATGGTCCCAAGTGCTCCGGAGCCCCCTCGGGACCCCCCCAAGGTCAAACTCATCAAAATACAGAAAAACCATGAAGGATGTTTGCCTTCTCGCTGTTTGGCTTCCGATGCGCTTTTGGGACCTCAAAAAAGCCCCAAGGGGGCCCAAGAGAGCTCAACGAGGGGCCCAAGAGGACCCTCAGACGGCCCCAAGAGCGCCCAAGCGCGGTCCAAGAGAGCTCCAAGAGGGGACGATTTTGCTGGTCCCAGAGGGGCTAGGAAAATCGAGTACCCCCTCCCTTTTGATCGATGGCCTCAAACATGGCCTCAAGAGGCCCTCCAGGGCCCACAAGAGAGCCACAAGAGGGCTTCAAGAGGGCCCCAAGATCCCCACACGAGCTCCAAGAAGACCCCAGGATCCCCCTAACGATTTCCAAGAGGGCTCCAAACGGCGATTCGAGTGTTCTGCCCTTGTCCTCGTTGTCCTCCTCCTCCTCCTCGTTATCGTCCTCGTCCTTGCCTTGATGGCCCTTCTCCTTTTCCGCCTCTTCTTCCTCTTCCTCGTCGTCTTGGTCGTCGTGGTCGTGGTCGTGGTCGAGGTCGTGGTCTCCTCCTCCTCCTCCTCCTCCTCCTCCTCCTCCTCCTCCTTACCTCGCCCCCACGCGGGCCTGAGGGGTGGCCCGAATAGGCCCTCCAAGGCCACCCCCTTGCTCCCGAAGAACTCTCTGTTCACCCCTGGTTGCCTGCCTCTGTTTCGCTGTATGTGTATCTTCGTCCTGCCTCCCGTCAGCTCTCACGGGCAGGGTGTCTAAATGGGCTGGTGGGGATATGCGAAGCGTGAAGAATTCTTGTAGGGACCTCTGAGGAGGGAACTTTGCGGGGGGGGGTTATTGCAACATCGTTGATGCGCCTTGGGTTTTCACTGGCTTTCCCCCTCCCTCTCCTCCTCCTCCTCCTCCTCCTCCTCCTCCTCCTGCCTCCTGCCCCCCCCTCCCTCCGTTCTGCTCCCCCTCATCCCAATTCCAACAACCCTCTGAGTGAAGGCGGTTTAGCTCCTCCGCCCCCCTTCTTCCCCTCCGGGGACGTGTTTACTACTGTCTCCTATCAATGAACACCCCCTCCCCGAGGCGACAGGCAGCCAACCAGGACCAATGAGGACCCCCCCCACATCCCTGTCAAAAAACAATGTGGAGCCCGTTTTGGGGCAACATATTGGGTCATGATCGGGAGGCCCGCGAGCTGTTTGCGCCTAGCAAACCTTGGTTGGAAACCAAAGAAAGGGCGCTTCAGTATACTAAGAAGATATGCGTGCCGAATCCCTTGGCACGGCGAGTTGTTTTTTGAACGGGACGGCACGGGTGCCCGCATATCGCCTGCTGCGCGCAAGGCCAGCATATGTTAAACCAATAAAAATAAACTTCCAGGTAAAATCTTGATACACACGATCACTGTTTATTAAGTTCTGATTGGGACGGCGGGGGTGCTAGCATATTGCCTGCTGTGTGCAGGCCCACCAGACACTATGATAGCCATCCCGGCGCGATTGCGCACTCGATTTCGAAGTGGGGTGGTGGGGGCCGGCACGTTTCTCGATGTGTACTGCCACGCGCGCAGGCGCACCTGGCACACTCTGCGCGTGCCCCGAACGTGGCGCACCTGGCGCGCGCGTGCCTCGCACGCTTGGGCGACAGGGGTGCCTGGCGCACCTGGCACGCGTGGCGCACCTCACCCCAGCTTTACACACATGGGGTCTGTATTGGTTCCCAGTAGCTGCCCATCCAGAGACGACCGCTGAACATGCTGAGGCACGGGTGCTACTTATGTGTTGGGAGGCCGAGTGGGAGTGAGCGAGACAGCTTGCGGGCGAGGAGGGTGTCTTGACCCCTCCCCCTTACCCCCGCCCTTCATATGGACGGGGGGGCGCGATGTGTCAGAGTGTCCACGTTCGCCCAAGATGGCTCAAAGAGGGCTCCGATGCTCCAAGATGGCCTCCAAGACAGCCGACGATGGCTAAAGATGGTTTCCCATATGCCTTCAAGAGGCCCAAGATAATCAAAAAACGTTTCTGAATGCCCTCGGAGCCCTCTCGGGACCTCCCAGAGAAGCCAAGATACATTCATGCCTTTTGGCTTCCGATGCGCTTTGAGGCCTGCAGATGGCCCACGACAGCCCCAAGCTGGGCCCAAGAAGCCCTCAAGACAAGACGGCCCCAAGAGAGCCCACGATCGCCCCAAGAGGCCCCCAAAGGCGGGGGCCACAAAAAGGGGGGAAGGGGGGAGGCTAAACCGTAGGACTCCTCTGATTTGACCGACGCCTTCCACGATAGCCTCAAGAGGCCCTCCAGGGCCCCCGAGATGCCCCCAAGAGAGCCCCAAAAAGGCCCCGATACCCTCCAACAAAACTCCGAGAGGACCCCACGACCCGTCAAAAAAGACACAAGATGGCATAGAGATATCCCCAAGAGGACCCGGAAAGGGCCGAATACTACTCCAGGATGGCTCCAGGAGTCCTCGTCCGAGTCAAACTTAACCTCGTCCTCGTACACCTCGTCCTAAACGTCTTCTTGCTCCTCCTCCTCCCCGTCCTCCCCGTCATGTCCTCGTCGTCATCGTCCTCCTCCCTTCTCCTCCTCATGTTCTTCCTCCTCCTTTCCCCTCCTCCTCCTCCTCCTCCTCCTCCTCCTCCTCCTCTTCTTCTGCTTATTAATATTATTCATAGTTATTATTATTATTAATAATATTATTATTATTAGTATTCGTTTTATTCTTATTAGTTGTATTCGTATTATTCTCCTTCGCCTTCTTCTGATTATTATTATTCTTCTTCGTACTATTATCCGTCTCCTTATCCTTATTATTATTAGTATTAGTCTTACTATTATTATCAGTATCCTTCTCCTTCTTCTTCTTCGTCCTCCTCCTCGTCGTCCTCCTCCTCCTCCTCCTCCTCCCCCTCCTCCTCCTCCTCCTCCTCCTCCTCCTCCTTCATCTGCCCCTTCATTTCCATATTCCTGACGTTCATCTTCCTCTTCTTCATCCTCCTTCTCCTCTCCCTGTTACTCATCCGTCCCCCCCCCGTCCTTGTCGTCGTCCTCGTCTTCCTCGTCGTCGTCCTCCTCCTCCTCCTCATCATCATGAACATCACCTTTCTCCACTCATCGTCATCGTCCTCCTCCTTACCCTGCGAAGCGCAATCGTGTTTGCCCGTGTCGTTGCCCTCGTCCCGTCATCGTCGTCGTCCTCATCCCCCTCATCTTCCTCTCCCTCCTCCTCCTCCGCATCGTCCTTCTTATCGTCTCCTCTTCCTCCTCATCATCATCCGCGCGCCCCCGAATCAGGGTTTCTTCCGTGTCCTCGCCACGCTGGAATCGTCCTCTTCCTTTATTAGTCGTCCTCGTTCTCGTTGCCCGCTCTGCTTCGCTACGCGTGTCCCTCCCTCTCCCTCCTTCCCTGCCCCTGGTAGCTGTCATGGGCATCGCCCTCCTCCTCCTCCTCCTTCTCCGCCTCCTTTTCCTCCTCCTCCTCCTCCTCCCCTTCCGCCTCGTTTTCCTCCTCCACCTCCTCCTCCTCATCCTCCTCCTCCTCGTCCTCCTCCTCCCCCGCCTCCTCCTCCTCCTTCTCCTCCTCCTCCTCCCCGTCCTCCTCGTCCTCCTCCTCCCCCTTCTCCTCCCCATCGTCCTTCTCCTTTTCCTCCTCCTCCTCCTCTTCCCTTCTCCCTTTCCCCCTTCCCGCGAAAGTTTCCGTCGGCATCGTCCCTGCTCGTCCTCTTCCTCCTCCTTCCCGTCCACCTCCTGCTCCTCCTGCTCCTCCTGTTCCTCCTGCTCCTCCTCCTTATCCTGCGCCTCCTCCTGCTCCTGCTTTTGCTCCTGCTCCTGCTCCTCCTCCTCGTCATCCTTCTCCTCCCAGTCTTCCTCCCCTCCTCCTCCTCGCCCCTCCTCCTCCTCCCCCTCCCTCCTCCCCCTCCCCCTCCTCGTCCCCCTCCTCCTCCTCCTCCGTCTCCTCCTCCTCCTCCTCCTCCTCCTCTCCTCCTCCTCCTCCTCCTCCTCCCCTCGTCCTTCTCAATGGATGAAGCCACGAAGGCACACACGCATACATATATATATATACATATATATATATGTATATATACATGTGTATACATATGTATGTATGTATGTATGTATGTATGTATGTATGTATGTATGTATGTATGCCCCCCTCTCTCACACTGTTTGTTGCTGCACCTCCCTGATCAAGGCAATGCGCTCAATAATCGTTTTTAACGGGGCTGATGGGTATATGATTGTTGGTCCGCGGGCGCACGAAACGAGTCGGACGCCGAGCAAGCAGGGCAGCGCTTGCAACCTGCAATCGCAAAAACAGGACGAGAGCAACGCCTGGCCTGGGGCGAAGCACTAAATGCGGCACGTAGACGAGGAACGCCAGGCGGACGGGTAGTACAGAATTACCGCCCAGCCCGCGAAGTGCTGCCGAATGCAGTGGCACGCGGCCCGGGTGCCAGAACTAAAATTGCCGTACTGGTAGAACTTGAAACGTGCACAAACACCACGAGGGGGAGGGAACGCAGCTAAAAAGGCGCAAAAGAAACGGGGCCCCCCGGCGGCCAGAGTGCGCAGGTAGCGCAAGTAGACGAGCCACTCGCCAGACTGATGGGGATACGCGAAGCGACAAACATTCATCTGACACTGTTCCTCCCCTCCTCCTTCTCCACTTCCCCTCGCGGAGAGAAAATACTAGCGAAACCGGGTTTGGGCTCATCGGGGATCTCTGAGGGCGCGCCCGTCTGATGGCCGTACGGGGCGCTACGGCAACAAGGCTACTCTGAGAACACGGTGGAACTCTCTAAAACGGCGCGTCTTTATCAAGGGACTGACCGATGCTCGCCTCCTCCGTCCGTCCGTGCCTCCCTCCTCATTCTGAACATACACCTTCATTGATAACTGTATCGACAGAAGGGATTAAGGTTAGCTTTTCCGCTGCTGATGCAACATCTAACGCACCAATATGTGGCCACACTGCAGCCCTCTGACCGACTCCAACCGCGCACGGAAGATGCCGAGCTCCACGACGATCGGAACATCGTCTCTTCCCCTTGCTCCTCTTCCTCCGCCCCATCCTCCCCCTCCTCCTCCTCCTCCCGCTCCTCCTCCTCCCCCTCCTCCTTCACCTCCTCCTGCCCAACCCCCACTCCGGCGGGCACCACACGAGCTTGAACGCGATGCGCGACCGGAACTGCACGTGGGCGACGTCCCGCGGCGGATCCGTGTGGCACCCTTGGGTCGGCGCGCGACAGGTGTGAGGAACGGAATGACGAGAACTTTGCACCCGGTCACATCTAGAAACTCTTGGCCGCGTGCCACGGCGACATGTTGTAGAAGGCGCCTACTTACCGCCAGCATGCACGTCGGCCGGAAGAAGTAAGCAAAAAGCAGGAAGGCTGATCAAGCAGATTGGGATCAGGCCCTCCCAGAGAATAACGAAACACAGCAAAAGTCGGCAGTGGACAAACCTCCCTTTAGCAAACCTCCCCTTAGTGGAAACGGCCTGGGACCGAAACCCACGGAGCTGGACCCGCAAAAAGGACGGCCGCGACGCACCCTCGCGAACCGAGAACGGCCAACTCCCAGATCCACGTGTCAGGGTAGGAGGCCTGTCCACCCCCGAAACAGCACAGCGGCAAGGCGCAGTGGGATCTGGGGATCCCCGAACACCTGCTTTCAACGACTGGCGTTTGGGAGCGGCCCAGAGGGGGGTGTCCAAGATGGGGAGCCCTTAAGACTTGTTAACTTAGTTTTAGGAGAAACCATTGTTTTTAGAATTCGTTAATATAAAAAGATAGTTTCTTTAAAAGTATCGAATATAAAATAGTTTGTTTTAGTTGTGGTAAACTAATTGAAATTACTTGGCGTTAATTCTAGATGGCAAATTATATTTTAATCTCACCAAAATAAAAATTATGTTGCTGTGCTATATCGTCAACTCTGTTCAAATCTATTCAAATGTAAGCACAGTGCGCTCGTATTGTGGCGCGCCAAGCATGCGAATATCACGCATGCTGCAGCACGTGCGTAATATAATTCCTTCCGTCTTGCGCCGCCAGCGCGACCATGATGATAATGAAATGCGCGGCGCGCATTGCGCAACGTGCTTGCGCAGAACGCGTGCGTGCGCCCGCCCGCATCTCAATCAAGTGAACGATGATGTTTTTCTCCGAAGCAAGCCTGCGGTACAGTAAGGAAGCGCTACTCTTCAGCACGAGAACGCAAGCAAATAAAGTGCAACCCGTGACGGTATTTAGCAGTCATTTTTATGGGAACTTGCGAAGCTTTGTTCCCCCTCACGCATGCGCCGCCCAAGAACTTCATCTTATTCATATACGTCTCGCCAGCGTAACACCAACCCCTGCGACAATTGACAAATTGCGATTCCAACGCCCAATGCGCGAGATGGTGCGTTTTAATAGCAATGTCAAACAACAGTTGTGCATCGTGAAGGAAAAATCGCGCCGCTGCTGCCTGGCAGGCGAGGAAAACCCAAATGCACTGAGAGAACTCATCCTTCTGATCGCCAGGCAAGATGTTGGCGCAAGGGTTATCCTTTACACTCTCCTCGATGCGGGAATTCATTCGCAATGCAAGATGAATCTGCTCATGGACTTGACCCCCCTCTTCCATCCAAAACTTGAACACATCAGTTAACGGCGCAATCAAGTTCTTGATTTCCCCTGCTTTCCCTTTCAGTTCTGGATATTTAGCACGTGGTTTTTTCGGGTCAATGAACATGCTAACTTTGAGCTTGGAAACACCAGTCAGACGAGGAAACGCCGTGATCACGCCACCATTTTTCACAACTCTCGAAAACAATTTCCAATGCTGCGTCGGGCGTGTTCGGAATGAGCATGAACACCAGTACCCACAACACCGATCCCAGGAAATATTTGTCCACGCCCAAGTGCTTTGTATGCATAAAATCAAACCACACCGTCCAAACTGACACAAATGGTAAATCAAAGATAGGATGGTGCGTTGGGTGCGCGGCCAACCAGGTGTCTCTTGTCCAAATTGTATCCATCCACGCTGGGCCCACTGGCCGATTGTCAGTGAACGGTTTGTCCGTGGTGTTCGCTTGGCAACGCATGCATGGAGACAAAGATGTAGGCCACGGCAATCGGAACTCCTGGGAGCGATGTTTTCAAATTGACGTTTACAAAAGGATGGGGACGAGACGGGAATGGATATTTGAACGCTGCATGCATACGCGCATTCATGACACGCAACATGAATTGTGTTAGTGGCGCGTCCTTGCTCAGGTACTCTAGGTCGCCCTTTATGCAGAACAGGAAGCCCCTGAACCCGCCTGCCAGAAACGTGCCCGCCCTCGAATTATCGATCCGCTCGTTGTTCCAATCTCTCGTTGGCCATACCCCATCGAACATGGCTTGAAGTGACCAACGCATAATCTTCCAAAATGCCGACACTGCCCTGCACGCGAGAACATTTGCAACCAAATGATTAAAAACCGCATGTATGAAAAAATTGCATTCCAATGGTTCACCGCGCCCTGCAACCATAGAGCACCAAGAATATATATTCATGGATTCACTCCAGGATTTACCAACGCCCTTGATAGGCACGCCGTCCCCATGGATACTGATAGGAATCGTGCATTGCTCCCAATGTGGCGCGTTCTTCACGGGGTTTCGCTCCAATGCTGGATGGTTGCCCACGTCTGTCCAAAATTTTACGAGGTCGTTCCTTGAGCTGCACACGTGTTCTTTCCAATGTGCTGGGTAGGAGTGATATAGCGCCGCAAACAGTTCATGGGGAAGTATCAGTTCCATTGGCCTGCCAACGAAGATGCCAACGCGAGGGGATTTGCACGCTGCTATGAATTTGAGTGTGCTGGGGACATTATTTGCTGATAAACGCCTCATCAAATCACCGTGGCAATGGTTCGGGCAAGCGCCCCGCGACCCCAAACTCGCCAAATTCTCGAGCTCGTCTGGCACAGCTGGGCTCCCAGAGGACAACCAGTCATTAAAATCCATCCTCGCTTTGTCGGAAATTGCTTGCACCATTTGCGGCGACAGATGGCCCCATGCCCATAATTCCAACAAGAAGGTTGCCAACTGGCTGGATTGCTCTCTGAGGGGTGTGGTTTTGCCCTTGCCACGGCCGCGCGCAAGGTTCGGTTGTCGCTGTCCTTTGGGCTTCCCCTTGCCCTTGCCCATTAGAAGCAGCTAAAATGGAGCAGGGAAGCGCGCCCGACGAAAATCAAAGAGACTACCTCACAACGCAAAACGGCTTCAGAGGAAACGACACTGTGTACATGCAAGCAACATGCGAACTCAGACGCAATATATGGCGTAGCAAACACCTCTCCGCGTCGCATGGCCAAGACATCGGATCGCGCGGTCGCGCTTCGTCGTCGCAACCTTCGTCGTTTATCGATGACTGCTCATTCGTAACTGAATGCGCGCCTGCCCCCGTCCTCGCGTCGTGCACGCACTCACGCGCATGCCACCGTGTCAATTGTCCCGTGATGAAATTGCAGCACAAACCAACTTCAAGCAACATAAAGACATCAACTTCGATGACACTACGCGCGCTTGAAAGATGAATCGCAAATTGATGACATCAACTCAATGCCAATCGTCCATAGCACAGCGATGCTCTTTGCAATCATCGCAGTAACGAATGACACCCCCCGTCCCCAATCACACCCCCTCGAAAGCGTCACCACAAACACCGCAATTGCACCATGGAAGAATCATATGAACACATCGCTCGGTTGTTTCAAACACGCAAACGCGGGCGCTCTCTCGTAGGGAACAGGGTTGCGTCGCCGCGCCGCGTTGCAATCATGCCATCTCTCATGATTCAGCGCATCAGTTCGCCCCTCATCCTTCCCATCATGTAACGAACCCATTTCATTCTCCATCATTCCGAAGCTGCCTCATATGCTATTGGTGGCAACGCAACGCCATACAATCGAGAAGCACGAGCGCATACATATGCTTTGCAAAACGCATGCGAAAGCAAAGCAACATCTCATGACGACAAGATGCCCGTGTACGTAGCCGCTCAACTCTGGATGCCCTTCAGGAGCGCAGAGGCCAACGTCCTCTCCTTCAGGCGAGCGGCACCAAAGAACAAGAAGGACCGCGCGAACCCCTGCCATTGCAAGCTGCAAGAGAAAATAAATAAACGCATGACAAATTTGAAATATACATGTCTCAGACAAAACCATCCTGGAAGCTCTTCTGGAGATCGACAGCAACATTGGTGAGGAACGTCTTGCAGTACTCCGTCGTCAGCGGTTCGTTGTCCTTGGTAACCTTGTGGGCCTGCATCTTTCCGAGAACGTGTTCTGCATCCTGGCGCGAAACAAAACTTCAATAAACAAAATGCATGTTTCCGAAAACGCGTTCTGCATATTTCCGAGAGCGCGCTTTGCATCAGGCATGAACACATAAAGTTTCAACAACAGATGCGTGCACTATGGCGTGGCGCACGCGCACGACATAAGAAAAATCAGCATTTCGTCGGCGAGGGTCCTTGATTTTGGGTTCTAGCTTGGCAAACTTCTTCAAGTGGGAGTTGGCGACGTCGTCGCCGCAAGCTCTGGGCATGTTCTTCAATGTCGAAAACTCTTTTAAAGTCTTCACACACGCCTGCCACGCCTCCTCGACGTGCTGCTTGAATGGCTGAGGGGTTTCTTCGCCGAGCATCGTCTTATCCATCTCCTTGCGCCCAGGACGCAACAACTGACGGCATGCGCTACGCGCGCGCGGCAAACGCATCCATCGGACATTAGTGAAAATGCGTTCAACCACTCGAGACATGATGTAGTGACGAGCACTATGCTGCGCATTCTGTTTTTGAAACAAACCGATTCCGAAAATTCATACCTAAAAAAGATTCGAAGCATCGCGCTAAGAACGGCTGAAGATATGTTCTGTGTCTTCTTCTTCGAAAAGTTGAAATCCCACCCAACAGCGTCGAGGGCCGTCTTCATTCTCGAAGCCTCTGCAGCACTGATCTGCTTTTCACCTTGGAGAGTAGTGCGCTTCTCAGTGCCAATTGTCTTGTCGATGGAATACCCCGTATGGCGGCTATACTGCAAGCCGTCAGTACCGAAATACTCTTTGACAGCGCCACTGTCGACAGCGTTCTGGTAGGCAGTCTGTGAGGGGCAACATGAAACAATTCAGACGCGCGAGTAATCTGAAAGAAACACGCAGGTGCGCCTCCATGCAAGCAAGCGAACATCT